TTAATTTAAGTTTACCGGATTAATAGTCTAACTATTATCGGTAATTACGATACGTTAAATAAATAGTAAATTATACTCGGTATACTAATTAATAAAGTAATATTATATAGCTAAAATAATAAAGGGCGGGATAGTTTAGCCGAGGGTATTAACTTCCTAGATTACCGTTACTTACTTGCGGTTATTAAATTAAGTTAGTTTTACCTTACTAAAGCCGTTCGAAATTATAATTATTATACTTATAAAAATAATACCTATTATAAACTTAATTTCGTCGAAATTATAAATATTGTTATTTATAATACTATACTTAACTTTAATATTCCGTACGAATATAAATTACTTAGTAATAACTTTTAAATCCTCGCACTTAGCCCTCTAGTAATTATATTTACGCGTAAAACGTGTACGGAACTATAGTTAACGTTTAACAAAGTTATATGCCCAGAGCTTGCTAATAGGGGGCGCGTCGCGTACGCGTAGCAGTTAGTTAGCTATATTTTCTACACTACGTAACTTTAGTAGAAAAGCTCGCGTAGATAGCTTAATAATATAGTAAATAATAACCTCCTTTTCGGATTAAGTAAGCTTCCTCGATCTAGGCGTAATATCGCGTCGTGCAGGCCGGCCGGCGCGTCGGTATCTAAACGTACTGCGATCGACGTTATATATCTTAATTATAGCTAATATACTTAGATTTTTATTATTTCGAAGAGCCTTAAGGGCTAAGATTATATGGGCTTCCTTTGAAGTAGATAGTATTTTGGAATGTTGAGAAAATGAGGTGTTGAGGTTGAGGTTACGCGTCGCGTGAAAAAGGTGGTCGCTCGCTTATATTAGTCGCTCGCTTATAATATACGTTATAGCCGATTACCTACTACCTTGGAATCATATGGTAATAGGAATCAAACTTCTTCAGTTAGTAATATCAAACATTTGCAATGTCGCTTTGGCGGAGTGGTTAACGCGCGGCCCTGCTAAGGCCGTTTCTTCGGAAGCGTAGGTTCGAATCCTGCAGGCGACGCTCCTTTTTGATGATAGATGCACTTTTTCTATCTACATCTAGCTATATGCCAGATACTACATTGTTTTGTTGCTTCTGTTTATTGGGTTTGCTTGATTCCTGGCTACCATCATGGAAATGGAACTTTTTAAAGTTAGTTCTAGAGTGTTCAGAGACCATTTATCCATCTGTCTAGACCAACATTATAATTCTGTGTAAGGATTCAGAAAATTCAGGTATAGTATGGTGTGCTTTATCTGGTATTAGAGTATTATATGGAGGAATGCAAACACTCTATAGCCAAGGTAAACTGCAATTCCATGTTCCTGAGACGAGTGTGGAAGCCTTTCCGGTGTTACTCGTCTGCAAAATCCAGGGTCAGCTATTTGACCATGAAAGCATACCTGCCAGATCAAGCCCAATACCCAAGTGTCCGCCTCTCACTCAGGCTACATGGTTGCCTGCTTCATGGCAGCATTCAGTGAATTATTTGCCAGCCATCATGGAAACCTTCTCACTCCGCTGATTTGTGGCCATCTGGATTGCCGATAAGGAGTATACCTCGGTGTGGGCGGAAATCTGACAGGCGGTGGGACCGTGATAAAGCCAAAATTGGTTCGGGTTGCCATGCCTCCTGCATCGCCCATCATGCCTTCAGCGTTCGCAAATCCAAGGCCTCCTGGGCCCCTCAGTCGGTTCCAGTCCCGTGTCGAGGTATAATATTCCCTTGTGACTTCGCGTTCACTCTCACTGTTGTCGCTGCCTCTGTCATAAACAATGACACGCTCCTGCCGTCGGCGTCGACGATGACAGGAAAGACAACAGCATAGTACCAGAACCAGAAATGCAAAACCCAAGACTGACCCAAGCAAAGCGCCCAGTTGTCCAGGGGAAAGAGTGCCCGAAGATGGCGCCGGTGGGAGAGTGGCAGCAGGGGCAGCAGCAGGAGCGGGGGGTGGGGGAGGCTCCTCGGTTGGCAGAACCATATCAGCAACAGCCGTCGGGTCTCCTAGGGTGACCAATGTAGTGACTGTTGTAAAAGCACGTGTAATTATTTGGGTGATGACTCTTGCCTCTCGAGGCTCAAGGGCGGGAGGTAAGGAGGAAGACTTGTCAGCCATTGGACGTTGGTGTATGCCACGAGAATGGAGCACAAAAGGATTGCGCTTTAGTACACCTGGCCAGCCGGGGGCACCTTGGGTATTTAAGGTAGAGCGCCATTCCCCTCTTGCAGAGCCTCCCTCTTCGCTCACACTACGGTTACGTAGCGCAGCATGAGAAAATTGAGAGAACGTGGGGATGATGGGGGCGGGGCATGAACTCAGTCAAGAGGTGCCAAGGACTGGCCCGTGTCCCAAAGCAGGGTCACCAAATCTAGGCCACCCATCTTACCGCATACTTATTGAGTATCGTGATAGGGTGGGACATTGGCGGACTGACTGCTGGACACCTTACCCATCGAGCCCGGGATTAGGCTGCAGCTGCCCTTCGGAGTGGCATTCTTGACAGCTCTATTTTCTCCGCCAAGTGCGCCTTCTGCAGATGTAACTGCGCGGATTCAAGTCAATCTGGACGCCATCTGTCACCATCCGATCGTATCCGCCGGTCAAACACGGAAAGGGCGCTCAGTTGCGTTGCGGACATTTACACGCATGTTCTTTTCCTGATGATTGCGGGCATCCAGGCAGGTGGCTTGGGTAACACAACTGTCTCAGTGGAACTGAAAGAACACAAGAACTGAGTGGGCTGGCTTTCTATTTGCTGTCCAACCTTTCTCGGGCAACAGGAGACTTCCTGCCTGAGAAGCCTGCAGCATGTTATCAGCCAATCTCAGGGCTTAATGGCTTGCATCTAAGGTCTGAAGGTGGCCAAATTACCTGCATCACCGCGCCAAGCTTGAAGTTGTGTGACCAACCTAACTATGAGGGATGGGTGCCTCGGCAGTGAATCACATCCTTAAGTTTGATGCGCGGAAATACTTTACTCAGGGGAGCTTTCAAGGAAACACCGATACCTCGTACCGGTTGTCTGAATTTAAAACGACAACTTCCACCTGGTAGTCCTAGTAGCACACTTTGCACACAGAACTGGTGATGAGTGAGAGCTGGTGATATTCACCTGAGGGAGGGAGGGTTATCGTGGTTGATTCTGTCTTCGCCCACAGATATGTCCAAAACCCTTAACACCAATCATCGTCAGGCCAGCTCATCATGCATCGGCAAAGCTATATTTTCGGGTCAACTATATGAAAAGCTTTGACAGGTCGTTGGCTAGTTCAGGTATCCTAAGGATTGCTATTGGCCTTGTACCATAGTTACACCACTACAGCCAGTTACGTGTCTTGGTTTTGGCATCGGCCTAATTTTGGTCCGATTTTGAGTCTCTTGATCAAGGTAGATGACGTGCAGTGGAGAGGTAGGCCTGGGTGTTTGCCAGCAAGTCTAAGTCGACCTTGGGCATCCGTAAAAGGATCCCAAACAATTTTAAAGTAGACATCCCTGGAATGTGTATTCTCATGCCATCTTATTCTTGGGTCTTCTCATAAAAGTACATATCTCATCACATCTAAGATTGCCCAAGCAGTAATATCACAAGTTCGTCCTGTCCCCCCCGAACGCCAATACCATGCCTTTTCTTTCTATGCGAGTTTTCCTAAACGCCCATACCTTCAAAAAACTTGACGCATAACACAGCCGCGATTGCGGCAATGCCACCCATGAGGGCCATTTGGATTCCCTCCCACAAGCTTCTTTTCAGATCCAACCACTTCATTCCCAAAACTATCCTGTGTTTCTTCTGTCCGCTTGTCCCGATCCACCCGGCCCGAGTCTGGTCCTTTGATTGCTGACTATTGAGGAAATAATCCTTCAAAAGGCCAAATAGGAACAGCGCTAGCAGGCAAACCGCAAAACTCCACCTGAGGCCCTCCTGCACATGTTCCACAAAGAAATAGGGGAACAATGGTAGCAGCCCGCCTAGAAGATACCCCAGTGACACTGAAAGTCCCACGAGGATGGGCGATGGTGCAGCTCTCTTTGCTTCGACTTCCTTCTCAATCAAGCTGCCTGTTTCTAAGCAACCATGGCGACTCCGATATCGCTTCTGCTGCTGTTCCAACTCCCTCAAAATGCCGGGGCATTTGGCCACATGCGACCTGATCTCATCTTGTAGTTTCGGCGAGAGCTCCAGAGGCGCTAAGTATCCCTCTAATAAATCATCGTTCTCGGTGTCGTGATAGCCTGAGACGATGGTTTCGGTTTCGGTGTCGATCTCTACGTCGGCATCGAATTGATCTACTAGGGCTGATTGGGCTGGTGTCTGTACTTGTGATTGAGCCCATTCACCCTTTGCTGCGAGGAAGCCACCGATGCCCATGCTAAGACTGCCGGCGCAAATCTCGGCGGCGCCAGCATAGATGACAGTATCAGAGCTTCCCAGACTGGAAAGACCAGCAGTCAGAGCAAAAGGGACGGTGAGCCCATCCGCAAACCCGAGGGTGAAATCTGCTAAGAAACGTGTTGCTGTAGGGAGAACGAAGGCTGATTTCATGCTTGGTGGCGGCTTGGGAGCTGTTGGCGGAGGAAGGAGGGGCGCGGCCTCAAGGTCATGCGGCATGGTTGCTGTGTTTTGCTGTGACAGAGGAGGAGAGCTACAATCGAATGTCGAGTAACTGTGCGACATCTTTGCAATTGTTGTGAAGTGTGGTCGATTGTCGGCGGTTGGTGAGAGGTCAGTCTGACTGGCCTGCAAGTCGTCAGCACTACTCTTGGGTCGGTTTGGTGTGAGAAAGATAAAATAAGAAGTGCATATCTTACCAATTTGAGATATCAGGATATCGAGCATATCAAGTGGCGAGTCGTGTTGAGACGTTGGACCGGGATGATGGGTCCTGTGTATAAGTCGCAGTGCCAAGGAATGATCGTTTTCCCCGAGAAAGTCGGAAGGTTGTCTTTCCACTCCGCAGTGCCACCACCCTCGAAATGGTGTGACGACAAATATGTATTCAATGTATCATCTCTGCAAGATAGAGAGCAATCATGGATAATGGCCCATGAACCAATCAGGAGCCAGCCAATTCTTTGTCCTGTCAACGCAGGTTGTTGCTTCGAGAGAGAGGCTGACAATTAGCTTAGCTGTGATTGGTGAATCAGCGCGCGCTGTTGATCTTGCGGGTTAGGGTTTTCCGCGGACGCAGCGATGATATTGGTAGCTTTGCCACATATAGTTGTTACCAGTCCAGTTAGTGCACACTGGAAAATACTGTGCGTTTTTCAAATGATGTTGATTGGTGAGGATGATAGGAAGGCTGTTTGTGGCAACCGTAACTTCGTGATCACGGTCCTGCGCTCCCAGCCCCACCCTTTCAGGGGCTCAGGGGTGGCTGCCTCCTTACCGAAATGACCAATATCAGCGATATCAACATAGCAACGGACGAAAATGAATTATATAGCCAGGTGCTTTGGAACTAGCCAAGGTAGATTGCAGCAGGAGGTCAAAATCTTCCCTCCCCTCCACTGGTGACCATTCTCTAAACAAGACACGCTGGACAGACCAAACTGTGACATGGAGTGAAGTCAACGCTTGTTGACAATAGCAGTGTCGAGTGCATCTTACAGCCTGGAACAAGAAGATCCGTTCTGTACCTTTGACACACGCTGCTTGCCACGAGGCTTTCATTCTATGTCGGAATCGCCTCTCAGGTAAGCCCGCTCTGTTCCAAGTGCTTCCGTATCAAGACATGAGAGCTTGACCAGCTACCGCTGTGTATCATGGGCCAAGAAGACTAACAACAACAGCGTTGTCATTTTCGCCGGCTAAAACGATTTACAGTCCTCCACAATCCCGCCGTCTTTCAGCCTTCAAACTGCGTCAAGGGGGGATATGGTGTGAACACAACACGGAGGAAGTGTAGATATCAGTGATGATGTATTGTGAGAGAACTACCAATGATCTCAAGAGGAAACCGAACAAAAGACCAATATAACCTCCAAACCGGACCGAGTAACATAGTACCAGACGTCGTTCGAAGAATGTGGCGCCGAGCCAACTGGCTATTCGTCAGGTATATCAGATTCTCTCTTCTCCCCAGTACCTTGCATAAGCAACCCCACCCAAAGCCACACCAAGAGTGACAAGATTCCCCGTCAAACCAGATATGAAACCCGAAAATGCAGCGTCGCAGAGTGAACATTGTACCATAGTCTCTGTAACTTGGTGGCATCCGTCGCCATGATTACACATGTGTCCGCAATTAGGGCAAGATGGAGTTTGATCCATTCTGCGTGAGGTTGGAGCCATGGTGTGTGAACGACTTTCGAAAGTATTGTCTCAGACGCTGACTGGCAAAAAACACCACTACATAAGGTCAGGCAATCCCACCCGAGATGAAAGCAGGGTAAATACGTACCGGCAAACTCGGGTCGTCGAGGGAGTTTGGCTGCTGGGTTGTAATTAAAGAGTGAAGATTTTCTCAGATTGGTTTTGATGTCCGGCGGATTTGGGATGTCGCGCTTTCTTATGTGAAAACGCATTCTATACATCCTGGGAAGCACACTTGATTAGATGCTGGATCTGATAGGTATTGTCTTTGCAGATGACGTGTTTCATAGTTCAAATGTCTGTCTTGGCGCATAAGAACCTGCTTTGCACACCCCGCAGCAAATGGCGAGATTGTAGTAAGATTGGGACATCCCGCTGTAAGATCTTAATCGAGGGTCTTGGCTATTGCGTAGCCCCTCTCTCGATTATCTTATTGGGCTGGGAGGCGCGTCACGGTTCCAAAGAGGTGCATTGTGCAGATGAGGCTTTTTGAAGTGGCAAATGGGCACCACGCCTGAGCCCTCAGAGGTTATTTTCTTTTTTCTTTTTCTTTTTTTCGGAAAAAGCGGTCAGCTTTTGAGTTGATCATTCCCATCCACGGGCTTCATATTCTCGAGCAAAACCTGTTACATGACCCAGCCCACGGGTGACTTGTTTCTTCAATCATTGAAGCACCATGGCAACCACACGCCACTGTTAAGTTTTTGATCAAGAAAAGTGGTGCTATACATCCGGATCTCTATAAGGTGGGAAAGAGGAAGGCATGTAATTAATCATCATGATAAATTCCTGCCGAGATAAGATAGTGAGATACCTGGATCGGCTTTGAGCAAGACGGAAAATGCCGCATGATGCGCAATATCTAGCCGGCTGTCATGGGACTTTACTTACAAACCCGACCCTAAGAGGCGTAATCTTGCCTGAGACCAATATGTGTAGTATCAGCTCCTTGTTTCTTCCAATCCTTCCATATTTACTGCGCAGGACACTCGAAGACGGCGGGGCCGGGAATGTTGTATGGTCCAGCTGATATTGAGACAGTTAGATCGTTGTGCAAGACCCATAAGCATGGCAGCGGCACTTACGAGCCCAGACTTGGAACAGAATGGAAGGGTCCTCCGCATCATAGGCACCAGGGAATCCTACTAGCTCGGCATTTGATGCGGAAGGGACTACCGATCCCGAACCGGACACCTCCAATTGGTGGCAAGACGGGTAGAACTGTGCTCCCTTCGCCGCCCACGCGGAGTGAAGGGCGATAATCTCGTGGCGAACGAGATAAAATCCCGGCTTCAGACACTCTGGAATTGTGTATCGATAAGGTTCGTTGTCAAACTTCATGAAAGGGGTCTGTTCAAGTGTTAGAAATGACAAAATGGAAGTTATGTGGTGCTGGGCTATACTTACCGTGGCCCAAATATCATCCGGCCAGGTCTTGTCAAAGGTATGTCTGCCCTCATGGTGAATCTTGAACCAGATCGGCTCGTCACCTGGAAGAAACTTGTCACATCCCGAATCTGGGCATCGGGCCACTGTCGACAAGGTTAGCTAGATCAAATTCCAGGGTTTCATGACCTGATTGTGTGTTAGTTGACCTACTGTAAGTTAAGACCGGACCCATGTGAGAATCAGGCCAGTGAGTCCAACGCAGCGAGACCTCAGAGCCGGCCACTGCTTTGGCATGGAGAGGAGCAGGTTCCGATCCGATTTGGCCTTCGATGGTGGAGCCTCCGCATTGCAGGTCAATCGAGGTGACATCCTCCACGGGTCCGTTGGTGATGATCTTGCGGCTGATGCGCTTGGGTGCCCACTCTCCCATGTATGGGTCTTGATAAGGCTGGTAAAGCTTTGGCAGAAATTGCCGTCAGCACCAAGTTTTCATGGTCAAGGGAGTGAAGAGGTACCTGGTAGAACTGCCCGCTAATGGTGATATTGTCAACCCAGCCGTGGGCAGAGACAGCAGTAGCCGTGGCGAGGGCCACAAGAACCGATTTCATGTTAGCTGATGGTCCAATGGTGTTTGGAGTGGGCCTGGCTCTAACAGAAGAAAGCGTATCTGTCTAAACTGGCAATCAATTTTCTGTTATATATTTATTGTGTTTATGAGCCCCAAAGCGTCACATGCCCTCCTCCACTTCGCTTCAGCTGCTCCAAGGTTTCGCCCAGAGGTCGTGAGGGTAATGTGCCGGCAATATTCCAGACGGATGCAACCTCAACAGCTGCACCTGGGTTCCGACCCACAACAACGGAAGATCACCTTGGTGGAAAAAAGATGCCAGGAGGAATGTCCGGGAACCCGCGGAGGACTCTGCTCCATCTGTACCCATGTGCCGGGTTCAATGCCACACACCCCAGGCTTTGATTGGCATTGGGCGTGGTTATCGGCAACTTAAAAGAATCCACGGATGTCGCGGTTCATGAAAAGTGTGCCAAACCCGGATCAGACAAGTCTTCAGACTCGTACTCGGTCATTTTGCTCTTCAACATTCGAACATTTAGTGTCGTATATAAATTGACCGGATAACTTACGCGGTGAGCCCTTTATAGTTGCTCAGCAACTCCCGAGTAGGCAGCTGAGCAAAGTCACAAACGTGGTTGAAGAGAAAAGAGCATGCATCTTAAGGGGAAGCCAAATGAATCTAAATTGTAACAACTAGTACAGAAGACCAACTTCAAACTGTGTACATGCATTGCGTAGGCGTAAGAAAAGAAATCATATACCGGAGCGAAATACCTACCTAGGTACTCAGCCCCGGCTGGTTGAGGCCTTGCTCTGAGGGGCAACCGCAGGATTAACCACAGCCTTGCCATGCACCTTTGCCTGTGCAGGCCTTTGGGCAGTTGCCTGACTACCACTCTTCTGGATCTGCGTCTGCTGCATTTGGCCTCCTGTTTGGCCCTGCGGACTCTGAGATTTCTGGTGCTGCCCTGGTCTCTGTGGGCCGCCTGTCTGCTGTTTTGCTGTCTGGGAACCACCCTGAGGTCTTGCTGCAGGATTAGGAGCTTTACCCGCACTTTTGTCAATACTCTTTCCACCTCTCTTCTCCAGCTCCATCTGAATAGCTGCCTTGGCCTTGAGGGCGTCACTCCCGAAAGACCCTCTGTCCACAGTCTGAAAGTGTTGCATTCCATTTTGGAGGATACACAAGGGTGACATCTGGCCATCGAGAGAGAAGCTGCCAGGGACGATTACGACGCTGGATGCGAATTGCCTCGGAAGCTTGACGGGGGGTTGGGGGGCGGATGGGTCACCGAGCTGGTTAACGTCTATGCCCGGCTGGGAAAGGATGGCGTGCACGGCATGTATGTCGAGAGAGTGCGTTGCTGCCTGCAAGGGGGTGAAAGAAAACGAATCCCCGGGCTTCCCTGCCTTTGCCGCAAGGGCCTTTTGAATACTGCATGCGCCAAATGAGGCGCAGAGGGAGTGGTCGTGGAAGGCAAGGTGGGTATAGATATCAGTCGCTGCCGGGGGCAGATAAGATCCAAATACAGTGAGGAGCATCTGCACCTGTGCTTTCAGGGCATAGCCCCTTCTCGCTCCTTCAAAGTACAGTTCGATGATATTGGAAAGTAAGGTTGGCTGGGGGTCCATCTTTCCTGCCTTCTTATACTCGGACCACTTCACTGGGAGAGTGACACTGAGTGGGGTGGTGAAAAGCTTCCTGTGCTCTTCTGGAGTCTTGAGGTGAGCTTTGAGGAACTCGGTGACAAGTTTGGGATTCTTGAGAGAACAGACAAGGGCAAGACGGCCGACCAGCTGCTCGAAGGCACCAGCTTTACTATCATACTTGACGAGCCACTCCAGCATGTCCCTGACACCACTGTCGCCACCGGCCTCCTGCGTACATATACTCAGTCCGTTGAACCACTTTGCCTGTGGATTGAGCACCTCGAATGTGAGAGACCGGAGCTTGTCGTCAGGAATGATGTGGCGGGTGATGGTCGGGTGATACAGCAAACTCCGGACTTGCCGCATCGCATGGATTTTGAAGTCTTTAGCGTCCATCCTCTCGTCGACGGGTACATTATCAGGATTGTAGGTACCAGAGAATGTCTTGGTCACAGCGAGATATGTCGAAAGCGTGAGTGGGATTCGGCGTGAATCCGGTTCGTTGAGATAAAAGTCCTTGAGAGTCTTGTGGTTCTTGAGCTTCTCGGAGTTGAGGTAGTCACGGACTGTGTGATGCGCAAACCCCACGGTCTCATCCATCAGGATCTTTCCATCTGCAGACACCTTTCTGACAACCTGAATAAGTGGGCCGCAGGCTTGAGCGAAAGCCCGAAGACTAAAAGGAATGCCCCCTCTTGTATCGCTTTGCTTCACGGACTCGATGAGCAAGTCGGTAGCAAGCCCATATCGCCAGCCAGAGTCGAGAATCAAGGCAAAAGCCTTGATCACATTGTCGCGGTGTTTGTCAGGAATATTGGCAAGAATGGTCTCCCATGTGCCATCAAGACTTTCAGGTCGGTCTTGGGTGGCGTTCAGTTTTGCGCGGGGATCTTTCGCATTCTTCAAGACCTCCAGTTGCCAGGAAGCGTACCTGAACATTCCTCTGGCCTTGGATGGGAGCGAGAAGGCAACATATTCCTTCAGTTTGGGCACTTCTTCCCAGTCCTCAAACTCATCCTTTTGGAGTTGTGCAGTCACCCAGGCTTTGATATCATCGTCAACGTCCTTGTTCTTGTCCAGAGACACTGGAATAGAAACCCTCTCCAAGGCTTTCTGAACATCGGCTTGCCTGCGGCTGGTGACAGCTAGAAAGAGATTCTTGTACTTCGTGTCAGTGGCGAGGGTAGCCACTGCCTTCACCAAATTTGAAGTCCTGCTTTCGTCCAGAGCGTCGATGACAACATATGCCCTCCTTCCATTCAAGAAGGACAGGACTGCCTCAATGCCCTTGAAAAGATCTTCCACGGTTGGGTACATTCCTCTATCCTTGAGGGGCTTCAGAAAAGCAGGAACTGACTTGATCTGTAGACAGAGACGTGCAAGAATCCAGCCAAGGCAGTGGGCAGTTTCATCTCTCTCCCACTTCTCGCCCTTCTCATCTGTGCTGGAACAATAGTAGAAGGCATAGGGCTGCTTAAAACCTTTGTACTGCTCCACAATGTATGATGACAGGACGGTTTTTCCCACGCCAGGAACTCCATGAATCCAGAGGAGCCTTGACTTGGAATCCTCGGCCAACCAGGCTTTCCACTGACTGGAGTTGGGTAGCCACCGGCAGGTGTTAGCCTCTCGGAACTGGGAAGCCTTGTCGTGATTGTCGGAGGGATTGGTTTTGCTTAGCCACTTTGCAATGGCCTCGCGGTCCAATTTGTCGTCCATGGCGTGAACAGCCCCCTTGACCTCTTTGACATCATCCTTGATAACACGGACATTGGTTTGGATCTCTTTCACGGTCGTTGTAAGCTCGGTGGTCAAGCCGCTGATGATAGAAGTCCGGCAATGATGCAGTTTGCTCATGGCAGCATCAAACGATTCTTTTTTGAACGGCCATTTTGCTGCCTCCCATGTGTTCCTGAGTTTGTCGCGGGTGGTCCTATCTCTGGGGTCACGATCGATCTTCAGCTTCTTGATCATGCCTTGCAATTCCTCCAGCGTTTCCTTGCAGATTTCACAGGGCTTGAAGATCTGGTTGGCAATCCGTCTGTTTTCGGGGCTGTCTTCGATCTTTTGGCCCGGCTGGACATTGTTTTTGAAAATGAAATCGATCGACTCAAATGTTGACTGCAGACTTGCTGCCTCCACCACGAGCAGCTTGATGTCTTTGGGACAGTCGCCCTTGGCTGCATCGATGTAGAATTTCGTTGCAAGCGTAACATCCTTTGCAAAGGCTATAATGGTAAAAATGGTGGAGACGAGGCCAGCGACTTCAGCCATGATGACTGTAGCGGCAAGATTGTAGTTGGGTGTTGATGTTGGATGTATGCGAAACGCAGCTGGGGATACACCAAGGTAGCAAGGTCTGTCAGGTAGGGTAAGACGAGTTAGCTCTCCAAAGGCAAGAGAAGGATTTAGAGAAAAGACAACTTGGAAGAGGATGGATGATAAAAAACAAAATGCAAAGTAGATTGGGAATGGGTCTGGATTTAAGTACTGGTCTTTTCTCAGTATTTAGGTTTATCCTTCAGGTACCTACCTGCTTCTAAGCACAGATATTGTGCCTCATTAATGACCATGGTGTTTCTGGCGTTGTTGGCCTTGCGCGTGGCCCACCATCCAAAAATGGCTTCGAGTCAAGCGATGATTACCATTGGGATTTCATGTTCTAAAACAGGTTGCACAAAGTGCGCTTGTCTGCGGCGCTCTCTGGGAGGTTGTGTGGCACAGCCTGTTCAAAACTACGAACCCTTACCCAATCGTAAAATGTTGGCTGTGTAAAACACCATCCCTTGTCCCCATGTTTTGGGTGCCACAAGCCAAGCACAGAGGCTTACATTAACGGATAGACGGCATCGTTCGGATTAGCAGTGTGAATGCTTCTTTACGGGGAACGGAATCATCCACAAAAATGACCAAGGTACTCTTGTGCACAGGACTGGTGATATTTTTGGCACATAGTACAGTCAATTACTGGTACGATGAAGTCTAAATCCTATCAACTGCGGTGCAACAGGCATTCTCCCCTCAGCCTTCCTCTGTGTCCTTTTACGTTGGCATCCAACCAAGCGGCGCAAGCTCAAATCCATTCTCCACAAAACCAGGCGCGACTATCAGGCACAAGTCAGTAACTCTATTTTGCACCAGAGCCTCCAGATGATCCTGAGGTCAAGAAAACATGGCCGGACTTACCTGTTGTCCCAACCAAGGTCCATTTGCCTGTACTTCTGGCCCTCTGCCACTCGCCTCTTTGCACCACCACCTGAGGCTTTTCCCCGTTGAAAATCTCCCGGCCAAGCACGACATTCCTGGTCCCCACGCCATCGTTTGTTGACAGTGACAAGGTCAGAGGCGCGCCGGCATAGTAATGCCATACTTCTGCCGCATCGACCTTGTGCCATGCCGACCAACCCACCTTGCCCTCAAGCAGGTAGTAGATTGCAGTGCTGGCCGACCGGTTGGTGGCCGTGCCTGACGTGAATTCATCGCGGAACGTCTCAACAAAGAAGCCATGCTCTACATTGGGAATCAGGTTTAATGCTGCGATCAGCTCGGCGGCGGACCGGTCATTAATCGACTTTTTGCGTGGGCCTGGAGCGTGACTGCCGTGGCTGTTTTGCGTCAGTGAGGCCATTGCCAGGGCAGAAAGTGACAGCAGCAAAGCCTGAAGGATGGTGAGATGATGAGACATGGTGGCGGTCTTGGGCTGGAACTTTTAGAGAACAAGACTGCCGGAGAGGTTGGAAGCAGAACGACGTGTTGGGTTGGCGGCGGGGATGGCACAATTTGTAATGGTTGGAATCACATCACTGTGGGAAAACAAGTGACAAAAGAGTCAGCACGATGTTCCTGCTGCAGTGTTCTTCTGATGTGATTGCTGGCGGGCTTGCGGACAGTGAACAAACTTTGGGCGATATCTCCGATGTAAGCAATTCCGAGGTTGCCGACAACCAACGGCTGCACTGTTGGCGATTCGTGAGCTATCTAGTTGGCTGCATGGCACATGGCATCATTGACAAGGAGTGTCTCATCAAACACACCGCCTAGATCACAGAGTAAATGACGTAAGCGAATATGCCCCTCCCCATGAGGCAGACGCAAGACCTGGCAAGAAGGCACATGGCCATCCAAAGATGTGGTTTGGTATTTCATTGTGAAGTATTAAGTATTAATAGAGTATCCTCGGTTCATGCAAAGGCGACCGTTCAAAGTCACACTCTATCCTCCCCTTCTCGTTCAGCCAACAACCTTGGTCAGATATAAAGATGGAATCCTTGGTGTGCGCCACCTCTTGCCGGCTGACTCTAGCATCGTCCTTGGGAATCCACAACTTCGGTGCTGGCTGCCACATCTCTGGTGGCCAGTACGCTTTGCGGGTATAATCTTCTGGCAGTTCATAGTCGCCGGGTTCGGGGTTGATGGTTGGCTGGAGCTTTCGGAAATCTTGATAGACTTCGGGATGGAAGAAGGTCATGATGAAATTGGGCGTCTTATTTGGATCTGGCGTGATCATGATTTTGATATAGGTCAGAATGCGAGTCAGTCCGGATTCCTTTATGGTGGCATTTTTGCCGAACTTGCCCTTGATTGCCGAGGTGACGAACTCCTGAATCATGTATTTGAGGCTGCTGCTGCCCTCCAGGCCACGAAGTTGCACATCTGTGTCCAGGTCGTGGTTTGGCGCGAGGTTTGCATCGTCGCCAAAATCTTCATCCATGTTGTAATAGTCCGAGGCGAGGCCTGCCGGTTGTTGGTGCTGCTGCTGTGATCCACCGCCACCAGTGGACTCGTCAGGAGTCTCATCTCGTGCTATTTGCTCGCCAGTGTCCTTCTCCAGGGCCAGCGTTCTGGGTAGGTTGTACAGGAGCGGCGTGAGAGCCGAGCTCAGCGAAAGGTGCACAAGACCGGTAAAGATGAGAAACACGAGCATCAGCATCATGGGTCCTGTTGCTACTTTGAGAGCAAAGAGGCCAATCAGACAGATCTCAGCCACATACAACCCTGCAAGCAAGTGCATCAAGGCGCGTGGATAAAAGAGACCTTTGGTGTCGTGATGAGAGTCAAACACGAAGATGATCATGTAGCGGTAGACGTAGCTGACAAACATCATGCCGAAACCCGCGAAGATGAGAACGAGGGGAGCAATACAGGTGTAGCTGAGAGCTGTAACAAGTCATGGTTGTTAGCGGTGCACAGCCATGTAAAACCATGAGGTCACTTACCGATAACACCCAGGTTTGTAAAGCGCGGAAATTCGGCTCCCCAGTACACCCGGTTGAGTCTGCGCCATCTGTGGTACTGCCTTCGTGGCTTGACGGTGAACTTGGCAATGACTTGATGCAGAATCAGGTCACCAAGGTTGAGCAGTCTCGAAGAGCCTGCACCCAAGCAAATGACCAAGATGTACGAGAGGTAGAAGTTGGACGCCTTGGGGAGGTTGGCGGCCAGGAGATCCTTAGCCTTGAAGGGTTCTTGTAGAACTTGGGAAAAGGCAGCCGAAATGGCCGACGAGAGTGTCGTAATGAGGAAAACCTGCACTACCTGGAAGAAGAAGTAGGCGTTCTGGACGTAGAGCTCGACTAACCCATGAGAGGGCACTCCCGCAACACGCGCACAGCTCCTGAGCATCCATGGCACGGCAGCCATTAGCCACGACAGTGCGAGCGCTGGAAGCAAACCTTGTATCACACCCAAGATGACCGAAGGGAGGTGCACCAGCCACTTGAGAAAGAAGACTTCCTTGCTGAGAAACTCGATTTGCGAGATGGTGCCGACGAGAAGGGAGGGAATGGACCAAAAGATGATGGCAAAGGCAATGACGCCTTTCATAAAGAAGCGTCGCATGATGTGTTCCCACCACCGGATACGCAACGAGCTCCATATGACCTCGTCTGGCTGAAGTCCAATATAACGCGGCGACATGTGCAACGGCTGGTGGTGCGCCAGAATCTGAAAGGCCACCTGCGCGCTGGCCTGCGAGTCGAACTCGATAAATGCCGAGTTCAGCGGCTCTCCGTCGCCCCCACGGTACGCCCGCCTCAGTTTCCAAATGTCCTTGTTGATCAATTTTAGCCGCGCCCTTGTCCATCGGATGGTGTCGACGCTGCGGAAGAAATTCCGAAGCGGCCGGTGAGTTGGTCGATCCTTGGCCGGGATCCAGAGAGAAGCCACCGAGCCCCTCACGTCCGGTAGTGACGGATCCAGGCCGTAAGGGTGGGTGTACTCGGGGTCAACAGGTTTGTCGAAGGTGGGGCTGTCTAGTACCGAGAGTTGATGCTCAGCAAACTGTATCGTGGAGTCGAGCGGTCCTCCCTTTTCAGCATCCTTCTGGGATGGCGAGTCCCCTGACGTCGTGAACGAAGCCGGTGTCAATGTCTTTGCCAACGACGTCTGCCCTGCTGTGTGCCCTTGCGAAACGCCGCCCTGGGCCTTCCAAAACTTCCTTCGCGAGCGGTTCGCCATCCGAATGAGGCGGATCTCGGCCTCCTCGAGCAGTTCTGCGGAATCCTCTCGATCTGAGATCTTGGCACGCAAGGCGCCAATATTGCGAGGGATCCATATGTTCCTTGCTGAGTCACCAAAGAGCTTGCGCAGCTTGGCCTCTTCGAGGTATGGCTTCGGTATGCACGTGAACAGGACGGTCCGCGACGAAAGACGTTTGGAGTAGTTGGGCGAGAGAAGATAGGCTTGTCGAACGTTGATGTAGTATACACACTCCCGGACCACCATAAACAGCACAAATCCTGACACACAGATCAGCACCAGGGGAACACAAAAGGGGACAAACAAGCCTCATTGGCTCACGCACCGAAGAAGCACCAAGCAACGGCGACATGGGCGTAGAATTTGTTGGCGATGATCACGTTACCGATGGTAAGTTTGTCAAGCTGAGACTGGCCAAAAGTCCCGGTGCTGTGGATGGGGAGCAGGATGGGCCACGAAATGCAGCCGCCAACGAGACAGATGACGGAGAGAACACGAAGGAAGCGGAGAAAGAAGAAGCCGTCGACGGAGCAGTTGTTGATGATGTACCGGTCATCAATGGCGAAGAAGGGTCTGATCCAGTCGAACCAGCCATCAGGAAGCGGGGGAGTCGGGTGCCTGCAGGTGTCTCATTAGCCAAACCGACGACAAGCTGCCGTGGGACAGAGCCCTTACTCTGGTGATCGCAGGGACGGAATGGTCCTCGGCGCATAAACCCGTGGGCATTTCCGACGGAAGACGAAAAATATGGCGAAACAGATGGCCGAGTAGATGAGAACGGGCGCAAAGGTGGACCCCAACGACTTGAGGGAGGCCGATTGCGCCTCGTCTGAACCGGCACCTATGAGTTGACCAGTGAGGGTGCCACCGCCGTCAGTGTCGTTGCGGCCAGCGCCGATTCTTGGGTCGTCATTCTCATCCTGCGGGCCGGCAAGCCAAAACGCGTCAGTGGTGCTGAGGGCTATTGAAGACAGGTGGATGAGGGCTCACGATCTGGGGGAAGGTTATGGCACGCCTGGCTAGACTGAGAAGCGCTTGCACACTCGTGTCCATCGTCATGCGGTGTAAGTTACGGCGGGAGTCAACAGTGAAGGCGACTCGTCTGGAGCAAGGCACGAAGACATGGTGGTGTTGCAGGCGCCGCAGTTCAGGAGAGGTTCAGGAGAGATCGAGGTGAGGATGCATGAATGAAAAACCCACCTGGTCTGGCTGGGTGAGGGCTCCTGGGCTAGAAAGTGGAAACCCGAACGCATGTCGACGGATGTCTCATTTTTCCCCCAGCGGGCCTCATCGTGGCTGCCAATCAGTCGCCGACTTCACCTTTCGATAGCGCGCCCCGGCCTGCAAGCCACTTGGGGAGCCACTGGGGGAAGCTGGAGAAACGAAATTTGATTCGCAGCGAACTCCATCCCCAGTGGGCCAAGGACCCTCACCCAGCAAGCAGCTGTTTTTCATGCATGTTGTAAAGTTCATCCATCATCCGTCATCAGAGACAGCAATGATCTGGGAAGTTTGGAGCGTCTCAAAGCTATCCGCCCGGTCGGGAACCACCTCATTGTCTGCCCTCCGAGGGGCAGCCGTGCCGGCGTCGGGAGGGATGATCTGCGCTGCAAGTCGGAAATCAGTTCGCTGGTCACGCCTTCTCCAGGCCAATGAGCTGTCCAACTCCTCCACGAGAGCGCATCACCGCACCAGCGCCACCGATGCCACACCCTCATGTAAGGACTCGTTTGCCAACTTCCTTGGGCGCAGCAAGAATTGTTGGATGATGCCAGCACCTTGCTAGGGAAACGTCAATTGCTTGTCAATGTTTCAGATAACGAGATCCAAATCGATCGGGTCGGCCGGAACCACCCCGCTAAGCGATAACTCGTTAGCGCTGATGATAAACGATCAGCGCCAGTCCAGCAGGTGGGCCACAGCCGCCACCCGACCCCGCCCTCAAGAGTCCCCCGTCGTTCATGTCACAGCACCACAGCACCACTAGCACTCATTTGGTTTTCAGGCACTCAAAATCGCGGTAGCTGTGGAATTCCTTCACCATGTCATATTATCGTGCCCTTTGCCCTTTTCCATGTCCGTCCATCCTGTCGTGCACGCTATCTACGCTATGGTCCCAAAGTATAGAGAAGTGAAACGGTCACGGCAGTCTGTTGTGGGAATACATGATAATTGTATTGCTGCGGGGTGGGCTGGGCTCTCTAGGTTCGTGATAGCACTGTAAACTGTCCAGTATTGTCCTCCCACCCCCCAACATCCGTCAGACTCAACCTGGTCCAGCCTGCCCCAAAACGTAATATCCGCCAGCCCGCCCTTGGTTCTGTTTCCCCTCGGCTCTATCCGAGCTCAAGTTTTCCCGATATGAGATCCCTCCTCCTGCCTGCTCCCAAACATGCTCGTACGACGTTGCGCGGGTCGTATTCCCGTCCATCAAGGGACAAACCATCAACCCCTCCAAGAGAACCAGACATGTGTGCGCTCTATCCGTCAAGGGACAAGACATCATCAACCTAGTCGAGACCGAACTGACCACATGCCCGTTTCCCTCCGCCAGGGGACAAATCATCAACCTCTCAGGGCCAAGCCAACCGTCGACACCCCTCGCCAAACATGTTGCTGACAGCGTCCGAAATTCCAAAATGTAAGCGACCATGCAGAGTTGGACAATCGAAAACGCCTTTTTTTGAACCCTTCCACAAATGTACCGGAGCTGAAATGGGAAAGAAAAGGACTCAAGACCCGCGTGGACGCCCAAGTTATATCGTACACCCGAGTCTCGTATCATCGTTATGCCTCCAGAAAAAAATTGCAACCATTGAACGCCCAGCAGCCAAGTTATGCAGTACAGCGCCGTGCAAGGAAAAGAGAAGGAAAAAGCTGTAGAAAGAAAAAAGCAAAAAAAGAGTTGGTTCACCAGGCGGTGTTCGCTCTGCCTGACAACGTGTACATTCAGCTCGTGTTCCTCGAGCGTGCGCAGCTCAAGAGGGAGCGCGGGCATCTGAGCCGTGCTATTGTGCTCCGTCGACTCCACGATTAACCCCTGATAGCTGTCGCTGAATGAGCCTCGGCCCCGAAGAAGGGAAAGCGATCGGGCATCTGTTGTTGATAGGGATATTCGTTCGGCGACGTACCGGCGAAGGAGGCAAAAGTCCCAGAGGGACGATCATTCTTCTGTCCCGAGGCAGTCGGTGCCGGGCCCGCTAGGGCACTATCCGTTCTCTGTGTCGGAAAGCCCATGGTGGGAGACTCGGCCGGCGAAGCACCCATGGCCACAAATGAGGGATGCTGCTGGAAGTAGGGATTTGAATCCTTGGGATGCAGGGAGTGGTGTTGAGTGCCACTGTGGGAGTGATGATAGTTGCCCATCTGAACTGGACTGCCTTCGTAACTTGATGTGCCGCTGCTGTTGTTGGACCGGAGTCCGTCATCGACACCATCAAAGCGGCCAGGCCTCGATGGGTCATGACTGTACAAGGGGCTGCTTTGCTTCGTGCCAAACTAGATACAAACGAGTTAGCTTCCATTGCTGTGAGGTATTGTTGATCAAGGCTTGCCTCCCGGTCTCTCCTGAGTAGACTCAAGGCAAAGCCAGCGATTATCGAGAAACACGTACAAAGCAGTATTTGTTGACCAGCTCCTCATACGAGGCAGACGCGATGCTTGTGCCAGGGGAGTCGGTGCCGGGCACAGTGGCGGGCTTCACAACCGGGGGAGCTGTGACAACTGCCGCGGGTTTGACGGGCTTGTCAGACCGAGCCGACGATTCAGCCTTGTCTGTAGGCTTCACATCGGCAGGCTTGGTGGTTGCGGTGTTGATCTGGGGGACGGCTCTCCAGTGTGGCTTCATGTACAAGCCATCAGACTTGGAGGCCATGGTGTCCTTGGCCGTCTGGATGGCGAGGGTAAGAGAGGCGCCAAAGTCGTACCGGTTGGCGAATGCCTGTCCACTAGGAGGGGCGAGACGACTGGGCAAATTATCACTGGGGAGGTTGGCGGCGCTCTTCACCCCCTTAAGACGAAGGCCACCGGTGCGCGACTCCCCAAGAAAGTCATGAATGGATTGGTCAAAATTGATCTTGGTGCCGTCGCCAAATTCATCTGTACCAGTCAGCTTCACCTTTGGCTTCTGTGCCAAAGCACTGCTGGGCCGTCGGTTGCTCTTGGGAAGCCCGTTGAGCGGACGCGAGGCGGCACCAATGACTCCCTGCTTGCCGTTTTGAGGAAGCATCTTCTTGTGGAAGTCGACCTGGAAGTTGGTCCCGTTGTTGTTGTCCCAGTGCTCTTGCCCGTTGAAGCTGAATCTGATGCAGAAGTATAAGGTCTTGGATTCCAAGTTGGCAAGATCCGACAGCTTGATGGTAAAATTGAAGCGATCCTGAGGGTACGGTGTATCAACAGGCCGGATGTCCGAGATGTACTCGGCGGCGACCTCGGATGTTGTCTTCCAGTAGTCCAGCGTGAATCTGCAAACGACACTCTTCTGGAAAGCAAGGTTCGCGACGGCGACTGAGCCAATCAGACACTTCTGGTCCTTGGACAGCCATACCCGCTCCAGCCTAACAGTTTGGGACTTGCGTGCCGGGGTCTCCACAGGGAAGGTCGGCATGGTAATTTCCCATTCGAAAGGAGGTGAGCGAACAGCCACTCTGTTGTCACCAGAAAACGGATACTCGGTGTCACTGTCGTAATGATCGATCGGGGACGATCCTGCACTGACGGCCAGAGGACGATCCACCTGTAGAAAGTGCCTCACGTGCTCGAGATGTGAGTCAAAGTGGACAGCCTTGGAAAACGTGGGCGTCCCAGGCATGCTGGACGGCCGTCGGCGTGATGGCGGGCGCAGGGCCGGGCGAACCAATTCACCCGACTTCTTTCGAACCATCTGCGGCTTTCGCTGCATTTCACTGTCGGATTCTTCGTCAGAACCGGTTGCCGAGCTGCTGGCCGACTTGCTAATGGTGATATGCGGCTCTGTCTGAGATCTTGCGTGAGAGAAACGGCGATTTGACCCAAGTAGACCGTCGAGAGAGCTTGTGCTGAAGCTATGATGCATGCCTTGAGCGAGAGCGTTGACCTGCGCCGGCAGAACAAGCAAATCGCCAGCATCGGGCGCCTGGTTCTCCGTGACCGTGCCCTTGGATGGGGAGTTGGGCCGCTGCTGAGGAATCTGACTGGCTACATCCTGAAGCTCCTTGAGGTTTTCGATCTTTCTGGCTTGTGGCATATCGTCGTCCGATGAGTCGGGTGGGGAAATTATCGCGGCGTTGGGCATTCTTCGGTCACCTGTGATGGGCGGTGGCGATTGCCGCACACTGGTGCTGATAACCAACTTCTGCAGGTCTTCGGACGTCGATTCCGGTGTAGGTTCGGTTGTTGAACGCTGAGCCGACGCTGAGGGAGTACGGCGGTGCTTCATCAGATACGAGGCCGATCGAGGGAGGACGGGGCGTGAGCTGGGACTTTGTTGATGGAATGATGGTCTACGACTTCCGTCCGGCGACGTCGGGACCGATGTGGCCGGCGACCTGTGACTGGGTGGTGTATAGGGCATTGTGTGCTATGATGTTCCGATGCAAGGACGACGATTTGAAAGCCCGTTCAGGCCCTGGACAAAAAGGCAAAATCGCCTGCTCCTGGTGCCGAGAGAATGGTCTGGTGCCCGCAAGAAAAGTAAAAGGCTAATGTCAAAATAAGGTTAGCGATCTGTGCACACCCAGTCTGATAGCACCAGTAGATAAGGCTATGAGAACCCAAGCACCGACAAGGTGGACAGAAGATGGTGTGCTGGTCCGGGTCTCGATGGCGTTCTCGAGACTCTTTCTCTTTCAGGTTCTCGAAGCCAGATCGGGGGGATTTCGACCGGCATTTCTTTGTCTCGCCGGCACCCAAGTACTTACCACTTTATCACAACCAACGGCGGAGGCAAGAAATTCCGGCAATATTTCAGCAACGGAACTGGCGCTCGGGAATGTGCAGGGAAGAAAGGAGGATGGTTTAATCGTTGGTGGTGTCGGCAATCTCGTGGGTTGCCTGGGTTGTCACAGGTTTGCAAAACGGATGCTGTTGACAAAAGCAAGAAATGACCGGAGGGTCGGAAGGTCGACACGGGGGGCGGCCAGCAGTGGTAGGTATAGCAAGCAACTGGCAGGTGATGGGAGAGCGTGTGCTGAATGCTAAATTGAATGCAAAATGCCTGTCCGGGACACGGCCGCTGTCGGGGTTGGGTCTGTTTCCGGCAGTCCGGCTCCTTAAATGCCAGCCCTCGGTACTGGCAAAAGGTTGAATTCGGCCTCGTGGGTTCGACTTGAGGACAGTGGTCGAAGTTGAGATGGTGACAATGGGGGACGGCTGGTGCAGAGGCAAGGGGCACGTTCGTAAGGATGGCGACTAGTATTGTACCGTCGTCAGTAGGCCACCTTGGACAGAGGAAGGCAACGGCAGGCCTTGGGATGTTGTCAAAAGTAAACACAGGCCTGGTGTTTGCAGCGAGAGAGAGGAATGAGACTGTTGGACTGGAGCAGCGGGCTGCACCAGTTTTGAATGATGGGGCTGTGGAATGGGTGGACTGGGACGGGGGATAGGTGACCAGGGGGGGTGGGCCAAGAAAACACACCCACAACCACCAACCTGGAAGTCGATCGTACCTCTAGCGCTGGGCCCGAACCAGCCAAGACGCTCAAGGTGGCCCAATGTACAGGCTTGGAAATGAGCAATGGTCGGTGGGCGGAAAATGGTTTCTGGTCGGGACACAGCTCGCTACAGTGCAGAAATTGAAGAGAGGGGAGGTGGTATGGGCGACACGAGCGGGCGGTCGTGATGGAGGGAGAGAGGGGAGGGGGAGAGAGAGGAGGAAAAGAGAGTGAGAGAGGTGAGATGGTGAGGTTGTGGTGGACGAGGGAGGCGATGGTGAAGGAGGAGTAATCGTAAGCGTTGACAAGGAAGTCAAAGTGACCGGATGCAATGGGGCCAGGGAGGCGTGGGCCGAGTGAGTGGGAAGTGGAATGGTGTTTGACGCTGGGGGCTCACCGGTACCAGGATACTTCTAGGCCTGCGCTTGCAGGGATGCAGCCTTTCCAATTTTTGGCGGGAGTGGAGACGATGGCGAGGCGAGTTGGCGGCCCACTCGCAGCTGCTGCCCGGTGCGAGGGCCAGCATCCCTGCCATGTACACTGTGTGAGTGAGCAGCCGTTCACAGCCAGAGTCCGAGCGTCCAGGAGCTTCCCGATGCCGGCCAGCCGTATCAGAGATGGATGGTTGCTGATAAACCCTCAGACATTCGTCCTATCAGTGAGCATGTTGATATAAAACTGCCTCATCCCTCTCTTCTTTCTTTCGGCCGGCCGACACTCGCCTTCGCGGGAGCACAGACGGCGTCGAAATTAGAGTTCAAGCACGCAACGGGCTCTCACCGTGACCGACAGGCCGCCTACTACTATCTCCTATACTAGGCAAGGTCGATAGATAAGACATCCATGGATTTACGCTACAGAGTATCAAGCAGTCCGTGCCAGCGTCCACAGTCGGGCATCTCTCTTGTCAACAGCTCCAGTATGAAACATGGACTGGACATTGCCATGTTGCTTTGGGCAGGGTGGCCCAGCCAACCGCTGGGTTTGCCTCGAGCCTATTGCTCACGTTGTTCATCCATCGACATCAGCGGCAAGAAGAGAAGCTCATCTCCGTTGCCCAACATCAAACACCGACAACAAGTCAACAACAGCGCTGTGGGGGGATGAAACCATGCTTTGTCAACTCGCCTGTGTTGGTCTTGGCATACATTCATGCTGTACGGTACAATGACGTCGGTGAAATGCTCGCGCTTGCTACAGCCACTCAGAGCCCTTATGCCAACAAACTGTTTGTTTTACGGCGTATCGGTCAGTAACCCTTGCATTTATTTGACTGGACAAATGTTTTTTCTTTCTGGCCCACGAGGCGCTGCAAGCCACGCCCGCATTTTGTCTCGCACAAATTCTTTTTGCCCGTTGCTTGCCCTATCTTCTTTCATGAACGTCAGCCATTGTCAGAATAAAATATATCAACACCTGGACTTCCAGGTTACCCCAAAGCAGCATCTCCAGCTGTTGTTTGTCATTGTTTCACTGAGGGGAGTCCAGGACACGCGTTTCCATAAACGGCAGAAGAGGCGATGTGGGGGTCCAGGTCAAGGTTCTCGGACATAATGTCGTGAATGTCTACCGCGCCACAAATACTGGCTTCAAGAGAGCTCCTTCAGCTTTCAACCTGCAGCCCAACATCGAGTCTCTTGCATTGTTCTTTGCGACTGTTGCATCGCCCACGAGCACCTTCCAGTGGTCCGGTCATTCATCGTGTATCCGTCCAGCAGGCGGGGTTCGAATTGAAATGCGATTCCCAAAAGTTAGGCCCATCCAACGACAGACGGCTCTCAGCCCACGTTGGAGAAACCAGCTCTGATGTGAGATGAATCGGCGATTGGCCAACAGCCAACATTGCCTAACGATGCCGGGCTGGCGCTAATCCCCCATCTGGCCTGACGAAAATATTTTTAGCGGGAAACGGCCCCGCCACGGCGATTGCGCAGCAACTTAGAACCCTCATCGAACCCTCAATGCGCCTCCCCCTCATCGTCTCGACCACCAGGTGAGGCTTTGACGGCGTGACGGCCCAGGAATCAACTGTGACCCTTGAATCCTGGAGTTGTTCCGTTCTCTTCAACTGCACAACTCACCGAAATCCTCTGCTCCCGGAGGGTCCCGCCACGAAGCCGGAGCATGATGCCATCCTGCAACTTCTGCGCAGCGGCCTGGAGCTGAGTTGTTCAAAGATGAGATGCAGGTTGTATTTTGAACAGCGAATTCTTTTGCTCCAGACTTTCCCCGCTTCCATCCTCCTCTGACCATGAAGAACCCCTAGCCCAACTGGTCGGTAGGCTGGCAAGATCTGTCAACACCATCTCCATCGCGGCCCGAATCTCGATCCTAGTTGGCGATGCGGGAGGTTGAGTTGCATACAGTAGCCATCCAAGAGTCAGCTCCCCGTGCATAACTACCTGAGAGGGGCTCAACGGGGTCGAGCGGTCCAAGTATCTACGTCCACGTAAACACGGCGTCGGTTGAACTCTCCACAGGACTGATTCTAGAGTAGTGTTGAGAACGCTGCTCTCCAACATCAAGCGGCCTCGAAACAATAGCGCATTGGCCCCGGTGGAGAAGACGAGGTTGTCATAGTCATAACCATCAATCGTTAAAATCTCTTCTTCCCTCTGCACAGTGCGGGAGAGGATTGTATCTTGGATCTCGGAGACTTCTCCTAACTCCCCAAAAATATGCCAAGGCTTGGGCTATCAGCCTGCGATGAATTCAGGTGCAGTGATTGGCTAGACAAATAGTTCTTCGAATGTCATCTTGGCACAGACAACGGCTTGGTCTCGACACAAACCCTCTTGCGATGTCAGCCGGTGCCAGGGAGGCCTGTGTCTTGCATGGGCCAACTCACCTGGCACCCTGGGCAATTGCCTGGATCTGAAGCAAGCGATGGCACAAGCCTCGACAAACAGACCAAGAAAAAAATCTCTTCAACCAGGGCACAGCTGTTGACGTTGGGGATGCCACTATCAAAGCACCTCCGCGGCTCTTGCCATTTTCTGCGTAGCCTACCCCCACGCCTCCTATCAAATTTGTTTTCCATCACGGCTGTCCGAACGTAGCAGCTTCCAAGTTGATCGTCCATCGTCCAGATAGATTCCTTCTCTTGCAGAACTGACCTGCTGCATCCAGACAACTCGCGTCTCCAATGCAGCCTCCTTCTGTAGCACCATGCCGTGCATCGAGATGGTTCTCTTGGCAACGATAAGTGAAACTTTATTATCGGTCAGGAAAAAAGGCAGAGCAATTTCTGCCGGAGAGACTGGCATATCTCCAGGCTCTCACCGAAGACCAATTCTTATCGCAGCTCCCATCCGAACCCTGTATTCCCGTATCCGTTCGTATTGCGGTGTATAATACATCCCATGCCGCCCACACCCCCGTGTCACACCTTGTCTCTGCTGCAATCCCCCAACAGTCCAGACATTCGCCATCTGCCCCACATCTGCACGGACAAAGAATATCCAGCCTGCCTTATTACATTGTTTATCTCACGTCAGGCAGACCTGCAATGGCATTCCCTGGGCAAGAACAAAGTCCTCTTCCCATGGCAAAACCCGAGCCGTGAGCAAAAGCCTAGAACTGCCATCATACCATCAGGAACTTGGTTTTCGCAATGCTTGGGCACCAAGAGTGGACCGGTAGCAGTGTATGTGTGAGCGATGGAGGAATGGCAAGACGACAACTCAGCTCTGCATCAGTTAAGGCGGGGTAGGTAGAGTTGGAGTTTTGCGGGGAAGGCAAGCAATGGAGAACATCCAGCATTCGACCCAGAACATCAGCAAGATAATTGAACGGTTTTTCATGGGAGTCCGAACTCAGTCACCCAACAACAAATTTAGATGCTTGGGTCCAGTAGTTATTACCAGGTGGCGGCGCGGACAGCACCTGACTGACGCCAGTGGCGGCACAGGACATGGTCAAATAATTATTTGTGTTGGTTCTGGGCAGTGGTTCCTATTTTGCTGTGGCTTTTGCGACACCCATGCCATGCCGACTGCGGATTTGTTTCAGCAAATTTGAGACACGGCAGGCCAACACTGCATGGTTCTAGAAACTTGCCAGTACGGTGTGCCTTTGTGATAATCCTTTGTGAGATGGTTTATGAGACAAGAAGCCCACGAATGTTTATGTACACGTATACGTGTAGTGTAAATCGGAGGAGTGATGGATTTCGCAGAGTACTCTCTCTGTCGGGTTATTACCCATTGGGCAAGCCACCTCAGAGAACAGAGAACCCTACAAACGTTATTGCCAAGCGAGAGGCTTGCCTGCCGTGACGGCAAATGCTCATTTTCAGGTTGTCTCTCTTATCGTGAGCCATTGACCAATCAAAGAGGATGATGTCCTGAGCCACATGTGCGCTACCCAAGCTTTGGCCAACTGCTTTGTCCCGGACAGTGCTGCGCTCGCAATCATCGCACGGTGCCATCTTGATTTTTTGGAGGATATTTCTCACCTCCAACTCCTGTCAAAGCATCGACCCCCATCCCCGCGATGACATCCCGATGCACTCCTACGGCAAAAGCCTTTACGCAGGCTACCGGGAAACATGTTTTGCATTTCATTCATGCATTACTTCAACTAGATGCGAGGTGAAAAGGCGAGTGGTTCGTCCACTGGGCACGGGGAACTGCTTCGCTTCTATCTTTACCTCCATCAATTCATCAAATTCAGTAGCTCTTCCGTCTTTCCTTTCTCGACAATCTAAAACGCCTCAGCAGAACACGATACAGATTGGTGGGTCAGTGATTCTGATATGTGGTTTCAATCTCCCATATCTTCCGCTGCTACATATTCCCGCACACATCGGAAGCCGCTTTTTCGGATGGCCCCTCATCGGATATTCACCCCCCACCCCAAATAGTAATGTCAATCACTCAATCACTTGAAACGGCATGTACTCTCTCGACCGTGTCGCGCTAGAAAAAGAGCACGAGTGTACCTACGGTAGGCAATGCCGGACACCATGGGCAATGGTCTGAAAAGCGTCCAAAAGATAGCTTCATGGCAGCTTTCATTTCCCCTCCGTCCGTCATAAAAGACCTGACACGGAGCAAGATCTAGGCAGTCAGGGTCCCCTTCTCCGTGGGGAAGGGTCTTGCCCCGACCCTCTCTTCGATCGACAACGGGCATCTCTCCAGCTCATTCTACTTGACAATGGCCCCCAACTCATATCCCAGTCCTAATGGCAAGCCTTGCCGGTTTCAGTAGTAGGAGCAAACTGGATGGGATTTTTGGCAATGCCATGGGCATGGCATGACGGCTCGTGAAATTCGGTAGGTCCGGTCTGCAGCTGCCAAATATTGTGCCCAAGGGATCGAGCTTCCCCTCTTTCTCCTGGCCCGCCAACGGACTGGAGTGCCATTCTTCCTGTATTCGGCGCGGCAAGTTCCTTGCTAGAACACTGTTGTGCGTCAATGATGGTGTGGATGTCGCAGAAAGTGTCGACCGAGCCACATCCCAATGATCCCCCACCACGCACCGGTGAGAAAGGATTGGTCCTCATTGTGTCTAAGACTGCCCCTGTAGGCAGTCTGCCCACCGATTAAAATTGCTTGTCTTTTGGCTCGACAGGGGATTTTCCAAGTTTTGAGTTGCATGCTGAAAAGACCAGACCATTGCTCGCATGAGGAGTTGACACCAACCGCCAATGGGACAAGAAAAGGCCACTGTCGAACATTGAAAGAGAGAACTCTGTAAATACGCGTAAGGGTTTTTCTTCACCTAAGCTTCATCAAGTTCTCTATGAGTGTACATACAAATATCGCGAAACGATATCCGGATTTCGGGCGGAGGCATGGGCTCTGTCCCAGTCGTACCACCCATCGATATCGCCATCTATTTATTACAGGCAGGCCGGCAGTAAGCAGGCTGGTTAACGCTCATCATACACTATCAGGACCCTTCGGAACAACAATCCCGATGCTGGATTTCGCTGGACACACAATTACTCACCATCCCACGTTCACTCGCAAAGTGCAGGACCCAGACGGCTCGTAGAAGAGATTGGTCTGCGTCTTCATGCCACATGGGTAATCTTCCCCCCCCCCTCCCCCGGTTCATAGGTCTCGTGAGCTGCAAAAACCTTGATTTGGTGGTTTGGGGTTTGGCATTTCTGTGAAGGTATTCGGGCCCGGAGTTCACGGATGAAAGCGGTGACAAGACGGAGGCAGGGGCTCGGCACCTCGTGCTCTGAGCCAAGCACGGCAACTGGAGCTCAGGCTTCCTGGGCTCCTCCCAAAAAAAAGCGAGCCAAGAGAACGCACGCAATTGGCACTAGCACTAGGCCGGAAGAGGCATGGTCTCTGACAAGACCCATGCTTTCTATCCAATCCCTTGCTCCATGACGTCGTTGATTTGTCTCGGCAGGCACGCAAAATCGGTGATTCTGGAGCAACATCGAGAAGCTCGACTTTTCCGATCCCAGGGGCCTCTCTCTACTGTATGTACACTACTGTGCACTACTAGGTGTTGTGAAAACTCTGTCCCCCGTTCCATTGCAGTCTCAAATTTCGCGTCCACGCACCCAGCCCCTCCTTGTGGATGTGTTTGATATATGCACCTGTCATAGGTACGGAGCATCCCCTTTTGTGCTTACTGGCGCGGGCTCGTATTAAGCCAGGCCTCGGGTCCGTTGCTGTGCCCGGCGATACCTTCTTGAGCTCAGACGGCGGTGTTGATCTGGTGTGTAGCCTGCTCAAAGTTCTTTTGCAAGAAAAAGCTCGAGCCATCCTCAACCGCGGGGTTGTCAACCCCCCACCCCCCGCACAAAAAGTGTGGGGTTGTATGTTATATCCACCCAAACAGCACAGATCATTAAGACTTTAAGAGTCTGGACTGTAACCGATCCACTTCAGCGCAACCGCAAGCCTCTTGAAGACATTTGCTTCAGATGGCGCAGATTTCCCTCAACGACGACTCGCCGCGCCGCGCCGCTTGCCCGCAGTGATGCGAGAACAGGTGATCTCTTAGCGTCCCATTGTGAGGGATGAACTCATTCATCAATGGGGAGGTCGGTGAGTGAGAGAAAAACAAATGGAAGCGCTGGCCGCGGGGCAACACCGAGGAAACCCTTGCACCACCCCACGCTGCTCAGCCGTGCTCAGAAAGTCCACTCACTGCCGTCAACAACAACCTGGAGAGGCTGTAAGCTGTATCTACTACCTAGACCGGAGTTTGATGGGCTTGGGACGCAATCGGGGTAAGATAAGCGAGGTGATGAGAAAATCACATCATCCTTCATCAATACAGTAGGTATTGAGAAGTTCTCTGTCACCCCTCCGGTGACGCTCTGTTACCAGCACCCACGCCACACACCGACCAATTAGGTGCCATGCTTTCCACTTTGGCGCTTCGACTTGCCCTATCAGGAACCCAGCAGAATGGCGGTGAAGTTTTTGCTGTTCACTTCACCTTGAAATTGTGTGCTTGAAAGGGGCATTGATGCGAGGGCTCGTCATTGCGAAGACTCGTCAATGACGAGCCCTCGACATTGATCGGGATAAAGCATCCATAATGTGCTCATGAAGCTGCCCAGACAGCTGGGTCGGGACCTTCTCCGGCACCGGTAAGTATGATGGGCTTGGTTCTGGTATCGTCTCAGAATGCAAACCCAGTTACTGACCTACGAGCAGAAGAAAGGCTTCGATAGTTGGCCTCGCTCGTTGGCACGGAAGTTCAAAAACCTGCATGGCCTTGGGGACGCCTACGCATCAGGCTGAGGGCGGCTCATAACTCCGTCGACACGCCATTTTTGAGTTCTGCCGGATGGTTCAAGTTGTGCCGCCCTGAACTCCAAAGTTCGTCCCCGATTCAAGTAGCAGCTTTCCTGACCGGTGTCCCGCATCCAACCTTGGAAAGACTCGGCTTCCTGAGTCCAGTCCTGAATCGACCTTGCTACTTCCTCAAACCGCCGCTGGACGCTGCATCCATTGGTGCAGTTCTCTACCGGTAGACAACTGGGCCAGTTGTGTCTTGTCTGGAGCAATGCCGTCCTCAACGAACAGCTCAGGCGACATAAGAGGACGCCACCATCAAGATTCCCCGGCAGCACAAGGACGTAACATCCTCACCTCCATTCTC